CTGGGGGAGAGAGGCACATCCTGCAGGGATGGCATCGGCACAGCGAGTGTCCCTGTGTCCCCGCCGTGTCCCCTCCGTGCAGGCTGGGCTCACGGCCGGGCTCTTTCCCAACCCAAATCCATCTGTGTCAGGCTGGGGCGGCGGCTGGAGCCAGCCTGGGCRGCAGTGGGGACATCAGGGCTGTCCCCAAGGACAGGACGGGCAGGGGAGCAGCGGCAGTGCCAACCGGGGGTACTGTCCCGTCACCCAAAGGAACGGTGCCATCCTTGTCCCCCGGCCTCGGGCTGGCCCTGAGGGACACGAGGGACCCTCGGCGGGGYTTGGGGACCGCGGAGTGGCAGCAGCTGCTCGGAGCAGGAGGGACCGGCAGCGGCGGCGGATCGGGGCGTGCTGTCACCAGCGCTGACATTTCCAGCTGGAACAAAGCCCGSCTGCCAAAGCCAGACTGTTCAGCCCCGATTTAATGCGCAGGACCCTCCAACGAGCCAGGCGCGGGCAGGAGCCGGGATTTCGGGCCGYGGCTGCCAAAGGCTCATTAGTGTCAGCGGCTCCGGGCGGTGATTCACCGCGAAGGCGAGCGGCGGCTCTGGCCGAGCCCTGCCCCGGCCCCTCCAGAGATCAATAAACCAATTACGGAGGCAAATAACGGCCGGGCGAGAAGGGGAGGGAGGGAAAGGGAGGAAAGAACAGGCTGGGGGGAGGTCTGGAAGCGGCAGGAGCCGGAGCGGGGCGCGGTGGTCCCATGGGAGACCCCCACCCCAGCGGGGCTGCGGAGAGACCCGGATCCCGGGGGAGAGTCTGGACACTGCCCTGGACATTGCCCGGATCCCGGAGGGTCTGGACACTGCCCTGGACACTGCCCTGAATCCCGGGGGAGGGTCTGGACACTGCCCTGGACACTGCCCTGGATCCCGGGGGAGGGTCTGGACACTGCCCTGGACACTGCCCTGGATCCCGGGGGTCTGGACACTGCCCTGGATCCAGGAGGGTCTGGACACTGCCCTGGACACTGCCCTGGATCCCACTGCCCTGGACACTGCCCTGATCCAGGAGGGTCTGGACACTGCCCTGGACACTGCCCTGGATCCCGGGGATCTGGACGTTTCCCGGTATCCCGGGGGTCTGGACACTGCCCGGATCCCGGAGGATTCGGACGTTTCCCGGTATCCCGAGGGTCTGGACACTGCCCCGAACGCTGCCCCGGGCACAGGTGACAATGCCAGCCTCTCTCCCTCGCCATCCATCCATCAGCGCTGCAGCCGCTCTCGATCAGATCTGGCAGGCAGCAGGCGGGTCGTGCCGCGCCTCGGGGTGCGGGGACGCGGCCCAGACTGTTTGTCTGGCTAATTAGCGGAGAGCAAATCCTCCCCGCGACCCGGGCATCTCTGAAACGCGGCCAGGCCGCCTCCAGGCAGCAATCAGCGGAGCCACCAGAGCCGCCCGGGGCTGCTGGGCTGCGGCTGCGAAGGGAAAAGGCTGGGAAAGGGCAGTGCCAGCYCGAGTGTCCCTGGGAGAGAAACACCGCGGTCATCCCTGCCTGGCCTTGTCCCCACGGCAGCGGGGGACAGCGGGGTCCCTCCCAGAGCAATGCTGGGGCTGCTCCAGCACGGACACAGAGCTGTTCAAATCAGCTCTCCAAAGAGATCCTGATCCTCAGGGATCCTCGGGTTCGCTGCATTCGGGACCAAACCCTTCCCCTGCTGAAKCTGGGGAACAGCAGCTGCYCCCCAGTGCCCCCAGTRMCCCTCCAGCACAGCACAGCCCAGTTCAACACAGCCTCCCTCCCTCCTGCACACTGCCAGGGACCTCCTGCCCCCATTCCATGGATCCAGGAGAAAGAGCAGCTCACCCTACCCCTCCCTTGGCATCCCAGCCCCAGCTCCTTACAACACGCATTTCCAGGACAGGGGTCGAGAGCGCCGCGTTCCACAGGGACTCTTGCGGAACAGCTGGGAGGGGATGGCAGGAAACTTGGAAAGGCTTTAAAAACCTCTCCGCGGTCACGTAACCCCCGTGCCCCTCTCCCAGGGGTGATTTCGGCCGTGTGGGAAGGGGCTCTGCGTTCCTCCCGTCTCCAGCCCTGCCAGTAAATTGCTTTTCAGCGCAGGGGACGCTTCCCAGGCAAAAGGACAAAGAGGAGTTTATCTGCCAGCACCAAACCAGCTGCTGGGTACAGCGTCCCTCGGAACCAGGGACCACCCAGGGACACCGAGCAGACTCTACACTAGGCTTTAATTCAACCCTAAATCTAAGCAGAATGGAAAAAAAAATCCCTTCAAAAGGCTCAAGGATGGCTTTTTGACTCAGCCAGCTGCTGCTGCCCTCCTCCTGGACGCAGATCAGCTCCGATCAGCTCCTCAATACCCACCAGGCCATCATTTCATTAGTTTTATGGGGTTTTTAATGAAGATCAGATCTGGGTTCAGCCAGGCGAGCTCTCTGGCTGGATTTCCTCAGCTCCCCGGGTTCCCACGGAGGTGGAAGCGAAAGGCAGGGAGAGGTTGGAGCCCCAGTGCCCCACAGGCAGCCCCAGCCAGCTGGAAATATCCCTGTGCTCACCCTGCCCCGCTGATCCAGCCCTCTGGGCTCTCTCCAATTGTGGTGGCCTCGGGGCCAGGCCTTGGTGACCAAAGAACCCAAGGGAGGGATACGACAGAGTCACCTGTGCCAGGGAGAAATCCAAAGAGGCAGAGCAGGGAACGCACACAGCGCGGCTGTTCCGTGCTCGTCCCATTGTCCACGGTCAGGACATCGCTCCGGGCCACGGGAACCAGCCAGGAGAGGATAAAACAACCCTGAAAAGGTCACAAAGCATCGAAATTCTCTCCGGAAGGCACCTGCAGCCGCGCCGCCCCGAGCAGCGTTCTGGGGACTGACATTCCTCGGGACACCCCAATGGGCAGCACCCCGGGGAGATCCGATCCCCGCTCACTCAGCCAAACCCTCTCCCTGCCACCCTCCCTCCTCTCCCACTATTACCGGGACATTAATTCCCGCACCATCTACAGCAGAAGCAGCTTTTTCCTGCCTCCTAAAGATTAATGAGGCTGATAACGACTGTGCCGGTGCTCCAGGACCTGATGTCTTTAGATCCGCCTTGGGAAGTGGATGGCGAAGTGCAAACGAGGAGCTCCCGGCTGCACTCAGCAGCCTCGGCGCGGGGCTCTTTGTTCACAGTCACTCTTAATTTCCTGCTTTCTATTGTCTCCTGGACAAGCGATGGAAAGAGGGGCAGGAGCAGAGATTATTTAATTGCTCTCAAGATCACARGCAACCCCGAGCAGAGGTTACCTGCCCCGAACCTCTCCTTTTTGATCTTCCTGCCCCAGGGAGAGGCTGTGGCAAGAGCCACCTGTACTGTACAAGTCCCCAGAGGCCCCAAATATTTTGGTGTCGCCTTCCAACATCCCCCAGATGGGAGGACCAGCAAGGACCAGCCTGGGCTTGCCTTTGGAGGCAAGGTGCAAACTCCTGGGGTCGAGGCATTCCCAGCGTTCCGGGGAGATTTTGGGACTCTCAGGCGCCTCTTGGGTCACCCCGCATTGGGGTCAGARCGCGGCCATCGCTCTGCCACCTCCCTGTCCATCTCCTGGTGGCCCTGGAACAGCACGAGGTGCTGGAACCAAAACGTCGCTGGGCAGTGGGGTGGAAGGGCTGGAGGCAGGGTGGGCAGAGCAGGAGAGGGAACGCAGG